TTTCACAAAGGCACCAAGAAACGACGAAAATATACAGAATAGTACGACAAATACGAGTGGTAATGCAAACTTGTTGACCACCTAAAATATTTTCCATAGTGGTTCCGCCAATATTTTTTTCTCCGATTTTTGAAGCATGATTTATCGCCGTGGTTAATTCGGGAATTCAAAGCAATATGTGCCCAAATGCACGGGAAACATTGTCAATTATATGCGTTTTAGTGACGGTTTACTCTAATTCGAGAAGGAGTTTCATAGACACTGCGAACTCTGAATGTGAAAGAAGGTAGAAGAGAGTAAAGCACAATAGAAAGAAGGCAAAGGAAGCCGCGGAAATTTGGAAGTTACCTTAACTCCAGCGAGGACGATCAGACCAACCAAAAACAGCAATCCGGAACCGAACAACCGGAAATTATTGTAGATACTCTCGAACACCTTGCCTCCAGGCATTATGTACAACTGAAAATCATTACAATTATTTTATTACTGTTATTTACTACCACTATATTTGTTATCCATCGGTCGTTGCAATTTTCGCGGTCAAATGAGGAAGACTTTTCGCTCATTCAGTTTACATAGCTCCTTCTCAGAATCTCTTCTCTAGTACAGTCCTCATCCCTCCTGCAACCAAATGCGACCCTGTATTCTGTATTGCTACAGGGTCAACAAGCGTGCAATTTTAGGAGCTACTATGAGCAGAAACCCTTGAAGTCGACGAGCAGAATAGCGCAGAGCTAAGGAACACCTCCTCCGCTTTCTGCATGGTGACTTATCTGCACATCTGGGGCAATTTAGTGAGGATCTAGAGTTATTTAGCTCTCGATATCCAAGGGAAGCTCCAAGGGGTTCAGTAGATGGTACAGTAAGTACCTGTGGGTAGGGTGGCAGTGCAGGACATATACCACGCGGAGCACGCCGCACTTTGGGAATCCCCAGAGAAAGGAGGTTGTATTGGATTTGGTCGCGGGGAACGGGGTAGAGGGTGGGCAAAAATTCTCATCAACGGTAGGACGCGCTCTGGTACCTTATGCTGCACCAGAAGTGGTAATCCTCACATTTCCGGAAAGACCCGAATATCTTCGATTAAGTAGAGCTCTATACGCAATTGATCACCTTTCCCAGCGACTTAAATGGGATCCCCGCTTTGGAGATTCTCCAACAACGCCCTGCTCTGTTTATCTGAACGCCTGTTTGGGTGTGCATTTTCCTGATTATACCGGAGCAAATTTCACTTGAGAGACTTCATTTCACGGAAATAGCGAGCAACTGGGATGTACGACGATTTTTCATTCCCAAAGAATGACGTCATGACAGTGAAAAATGCTTAAATCGCGTCAGTCGCGACGTTTTCTGCATTCCCGTTGAGTTATGCTGATTTCTGCTGCGAAAATTACCACATTTAAATGCGCATATTGTTAGGATGTGCGCATTCCTAAGGGCTATTTCTTGTTTTCGATGAAGCGCCTCGATAAAATGGAAAACACGACTTCGTAGGCTCTTTTAGCAGGGCACATCATGGCAAGGAGGAACGTTGGGCCGCACTGAGCTATTCTACGCCTTTCTCTCAATGTCCCAAGCAGGCTTTCTTCAAACCTTGAACTCCAATTTCTGCTATCTTTCTAGCCCGTTCACCTCTAAATTAAAAAAACGACTCGTCAAAAAAGCAGGGTGCTGTGAACAACACTAGAGCACAAGATACAAACTCCTCCCAGTGGACCGAATATGGCCACTTCCCTGCACATAAGACAAAAAACATTCCACACAGCCAGGCTATCTGTACCGTTCTTCGGAGCGCATCCGTTTATTTTTCAAGTTTGAGACCCTTAAAACAATTCTCCAATTATAGACATGCATGCAGTCATTAGCCAAGTGAACCTACTTTCACCAACTGGCTCTACGTCGCCTCAGCCGCGCACAGGTGGATTCGCCTGCGCCAGTGCGAAGAGAGAAGGGCGCTATCAACAGCATGGATTAGGGTAACAGGCATTCACCGACGCTGCAAGAATCCTTCGGCCACTGAGAGCGGTTTCATTTGGGACAGTCGTCGTGGGAATCCTTCAACCATTCGCGCTTCTGCTGTCGGTCGGTTCCTCCCAGAGAAATAGCGTTGGCCGTGTGATGACAGCTCAACAATGTCAATCCAGCCTGTTTTTTGAAAAGTTAAGCAATATTCCCAATGAATGTTCTCTGGGCCTTGTTTCCCGAATTTCGGTGTAGTTCCCGTCGTTTGTGATACTAAGCTCACTAGAAGTTCAGAAGAGATTAGTTGCTTCAGAACTCCAGGAGAGCCTCCTATAGTTCTTCGGGTGTCGAAATTTCAGAATGTGAAGAAAAAGCAGGTTGTTTTGATGTCTTTACGCTACTCTAACTAAATCTCTGCCAAAAACGATGTAGTTTGGCAGGACCGTCATGAGCGGGACATGTGAAGTGGGGTGAAGAAAAATGGTCAAGTAAGAACACTGCACTGCTTTGAAACAGTCAAACGGCTTCTTGAACTCACCAGAATATCTCACAGCTACCGGTCATAATACAATAGAGGCGGCTAACCGTCGTTCCCAGATAGAACAGAATACCAACAGCACCGCCGAGTTCGGGTCCAAGATTACGGGAGATCATGTAGTACGGCCCTCCACCCGATACCACCCCGTTTGTGGCAATTGCCGACAGAGAAATCGAGGTGAGGAACGTCTGAAAGAGTTGACTATTAAGCTCGCCATTGTAGCGTTTTTTATTGTAATTAGTTGAAATGTTGAAAAGTAATGGCGAAGAAAGCCCAATAGGTTTTTTCCTGTGAAATTCGATATGTGGGTCAGGAAATCCACATCGCTGCAACGCGAGGAATGCTCGCTACGCGCAGCATTTCCTGGGTACCCTTAACACCTTTGTGTCTGTTCTACCTGCGTTAAAACTCCTTCAAATATTCCCACCCACCCTGACATTGTATGGCCATTTAGGGCACGTCCTGCAGTTGGGGAGCATTTCGCCTCTCCTCTGCCAGAGCCAAAATACGACCCCCTCCGCAGGAAATTCCCAAGGTACGACGTGCGCCGGATATTCCATCCAATCAGTCACTACGATTTCGTGTGAAAGTAGAGTGCGTGCCACATCCCAAAAAGGATGGATCGACGGCGAACCCTCGCTAAAAGCTACAGTAACCCTCCTCCATCCTATGTCAACTTATTTTCTTCTGAATTCTACTCTATCCTTTCAACCTCTACCTCCACTAATTGATTCTCTCTCCATAACTTTCCACCTTTTTTTTCTGAATTTCAAGGGAAATTTTCACAACGTCATTTTTCTTTCGCATTATTCCTTCTCTGTAAAACTTTGTACTTACCAACAGAAACACATACGAGAACAACGAAAAACGATTGAACAATGCCCGCGGTGCCAACGATCCACGTCATTCGAATGAAGAATAGCACACCGAAGATGTTTTGTATACAAGGGAAGAACACACCCATGAGCACACCCATTTTGGCGGCCTGAAATCATTAGAATTCTGATTGTTTCTGAGATTTCAATGTGCCAATTCTTTTGAACATTCCCTCATATTAGATGTTCTTCGGCCATCATCCTCATGGACGGCAGCAGGAGCCGCTAGGCAATTGAGTTTCGCCGTCTCGAAGAGGGACAAGTGGGGCAAGCGGCGGCACGAGGAGGACATTGCTATTCGAACAAAATTCGCTTAGACGCAGCTCTACACGAAATTCGTGCCGCTGTGCATCAATTATTCGCTTTCAAGAAATCGAGTTATAGCAGAAGAAGGCATTCACTGAGGAATGCCATCGAGGTAACCCAAGGACAGCATTAGGCCAAATGCTGGTGCCCCACAACAAGCCCCGAATGGGAGTGATTTCCAGAATTCCATCCCGCGCATAATCCCAAAAATCCAAGCCAGAACTTTCAATGGCCTTCAAAAGCAATTTATCCGCACCCATCTATTGCGGAGGCGGGGAGGAGAGCAGGGACGTCCTTTATGTCAAAACTGTGAACTCCCTGTTGAACAGGGAGGTTTTCCTCAACTTGGAGGCTCCCACGTGGTCGAAGCTTTTTTCATAAGAAAATCGGGGATTGAAGGTGGGGTAATATCAGTTTTCCGCAGAGAATTCTCCAAATGTCGCCCCTCCCGATACGTCTTGCCCAGCAACTTTGCATCTTTCAAAATTTTGCATCGCTGTTCGATGTTCTGTGAATTATGAGGGTTCTATGTCCGCAGTAATCCTAGCAATTAGTCAAAAAATGTGCTCACTGAGGCTTTAGGGCTGTCATTTCCCAACCGATCCACCAGCCGCGATGGCCCAAGACGCTAGAAATACTAAGGATGACGTTGCAGTCCTGGACCTGGGCAGGCACATCATCCATAAGAAAATCTCATAGGGGGATTATATTTGAGCCACTGTGGAGAGGGGCCATAGGCGCTGAGAGGGTTCTCCATTACTAAGGAGGGCTGCTGGAGTTTCAGGACACTTTACAGGGCTTATAGTTGCAAGAGACGGTGGCCGAAGCTGGATTTCTGGACTGAGAAGGTCTTATTCGAGGCAGTGAGTGAGGGGTCGTGCTGAGTTCCCTTACGGCCATCGCGTGCCCTTGACTAAATTCAGCATGCAAGGATATTCAATCCGTTACCTGAAGATAGCCCATAAATCCCATTAGGGAAGCATTTCAGCCAATGATTCGTAAGCGCGTATCCTGCGCGCCTTTATTCTAGGCGCGTAAAATCAATACTGCTTTACGTGAGTCGCTCGGATAAACGTCAAGTCCCTCGTTGTTGCTTAGCAGTGCCAAGGGCCACAAAACTCTATAATAGTATACTCCTCTACTGGTAGCGTGGAACGAAAGCTTCAAAACCTAGCATTGCCCTGATTTGTCCCAGACAAGGCACGGTGTACGCTTGAGAATTCTACGCAAGGGCCGTGTTTGGTCTTTGGAAAAGGGGACGTGTTCGTCCCGAGAAAAATGTTCAAGGCCGCGTGTTCCCATTAGGTGGGGAGGGTGGAATGTGGAGAACGGTCGTACTTGCTCATCGCTTTAGCGGGGGGGGGAGCACACATTTCCTTGAGACAATTTTTTCCGGTTGCTGACTTCTTTTCGCGCCCTCCCCTCTTTCGTGTCCCACACTCTTCGCTCGACGGCTTCTTTTTTTTCTTTTGGGGAAACGGGGAAGTTTCCTGGGAGAACTGGGGAACGTGGTAGGAGGTTAGGAGATTCTTTGGGAGTAGGTAGCCGGTGAGGGGGAGAACATATTCTGCGAAAATTTTCCGTTGCAACAGGAATTTCCCCGGTCCCGTCCCAGAGTACTTTAAATCTGCCCTCGAAAATGTTGTCCAAAAAATCGTCTCAAAAAATTCAAGAGCGTTCCTGCAGACTACAGTAGTCATCGACAGCGAAACACTCGAATGTAATGAGCTCGCTTTTGAAAAAAAAACCCTCCTAATTGCCGTCAGAAATTCTAATTCACCCAAGTAAATTCGCTGCTATGCAACCAAGATAGCAATCAAATTTAGGTGCATCCATTGTAAGGACAGCGCCAGAATAATTACTGGAAATGGGTTTTTCAGGGAAAGGAAACGCATTGGCTTTATGGCTGCCCGTTATTCATGAAATAACGATTGGGTTCTTAATGAAGACGCATGCGCGCATTTCACGTGAATA